GGTGCATTAAAAATCTGAGTTTACGGGAAAATCGCCCTTGTGCTAACTTCACCCCATCGATTGAAAGGGTTGAAAAACCACATTTTGCCAATTTTCTCCACTAATATTGAATTTACAAAAAAAAATACAAAAGACCTTTTTTGTTTATTATTATTTAATACATTAGGAATGTGTTTTCAGTTTTTTTTTAACGCATAATTATACAGGGTGTTATGATTTTTTTAATTATCAATTTTCTTATTTCAGCGTAAGACCTGAAAAACATGTTTCAATTTTTTCCCAAAACATTATTTCCAGTTTTTTGGCCACATTAATATACAGGGTGTTACAAACAGTTATTTATAATATGAATGGGCTCTTTCACTAATTTTTGAAATTGGCATATTTGGATAAAGCAACTAAAAACAGAATTTTCTGTATTTTTACTTTTGAAAAATTCAAAGTCCTTCTCGAGAAAACAGAAAACAAAGAAATACCTCCAAATAAAAACCCAGAATTTATTTCTATGACGTCGCAGCTCGCAATTTGACCGTGTTGCCACTAATTGTCAACATTGAAAATTTGTAATAGATTTAATTCTGAAATGTTGGCAAAATCTCATGAAAAGTAGTTAAATTAATTAGTTATAGATTCAAGATTTTATAACATTTTTTTTTTTAAATTATGCTTAAATACAATTTGATGCAATTTTTTATGTTTAGTTTTATTTATTTATTTTACGCTGCACTACATTTAGTCACAACCGACAACAGCGCATTCGAACCTTTACGTATCTTTACAGAGCGCAAACACAGCCGAGCCCTTCCTCCTTGCAACGACATAAGCGAAATGAAGAATATTTATGTGACGTCGGCAAATCGGCGCGTTTTAAAATAGTTTGAATTTAGGCACTTTTGATTGCCTATGAAAAACTTATTGAACCTTGTAGAACATTTTTTTTTTGGTATATATGCCTAAAATAGTCCCTCCTTTGAGATTTTATACTTAAATTACGTATTTAAATTTTAGTGAAAGAGCCCATTACTTCGTTCAAAACCACCTTTAAAATTGTATACATATATTGGGTATGTTACCAAATTTCACCCTCTCATCTTGTAATTGTCCGATAAACTCTTTTCCACACCACCCATGAGGTAGAGTTCAAGGCGCGTTTTTTTTTAAAGTGGTCTCCCCATGTTTATAGGCCTAATCCACTTAAGTTTAAGGTTTAAAGTTAGGCCTATAGTTTATTACAGCAACGCGAGATGTCAATGCTGTCGCATTTTGAATTTCTTTTTTTGAGAAAATTCGAAGTATTATTCTGTTTTATATAAACAGGGTTGGAATTTGGACCCACCCACACAATTTTGAACGTTCATCCGTTGGATTTTTTCAATACACTGTAGCTACGGGCGTATTTCCAACTATTTTTGCCATAGCGATAAAACAGAATCAGTGTAATTTTACTCAAAAACAAACTGGGAAGCTATTTAATATTGTATTTTTGATAATTACCTAATAAAAGTTTATAGGTAATCCATATTACGAATAACTTTTTGTAACACCCTGTGTATTAATGTGGCCAAAAAACTGAAAATAATGTTTTGGTAAAAAATTGAAACATGTTTTTTAGGTCTTACGCTGAACAATTGCCTTAGATATATCTAAAGCATTCGACAAAGTTTGGCATGAAAATCTGCTCAACAAGCTCAAAGCAATGGGATTATCGCCGAAACTTTGCACTTGGTTTGAAAGTTACCTAAAGGACAGATCCATTTATGTTGCACTGGATGGCCAGAACTCCAACTCTTACCAAATAAATGCTGGTGTGCCACAGGGAGCAATCCTTTCGCCAACTCTTTTTCTGATTTACATAAATGACCTCATAGATAAAACAGTAAATCCACTTTATTGCTTTGCAGACGATGGCAATGTAGTCTCCTCACTCATACCACCCACAGGTGTTTCCGCACATGAATTCCATCATCTTAGACTAACTCAAATATCGCAGATAAATAACGACTTGGAGATAATAGAGGACTGGGGTAACAAAAACCTTGTACAGTTCAACGCGCAGAAAACCCAAGCAGCTCTGTTTTCAAAAAAGACCAGCACCGGTGAGCCAAACATCATGCTATCTGGAAGTGCTGTCACATTACAGAGTCAGTTGAACATCTTGGGGGTTACTGCAGAGACCAACATGTCTTGGCACAGTCACGTGGCAGATATTGCTAAAAGGGCGTCCCAAAAGCTTGGGGTGCTATTTCGTACAAGACATCTGTACACACCAAGCCAATTGCTGACACTCTACAAAGCCCAGATTCGACCAACTATGGAGTACTGCTCACATATATGGAGTGCAGCACCCAAACATACCTTAATGCTTTTGAACACCGTGCAAAAACGAGCTATCAAGCTGATCAATGACCCCGCACTTACTCGTAACTTGGATGGTCTCGAACATCGCAGATCTGTGGGCGATTTATCTCTCTTCTACAGGTACTATCACGGAAAATGCTCTGAAGAGTTGGCACGTATGATTCCACCGAGAGTAGCGCCTACCAGGCGAACCCGTCAAACAGACGGTAACCATGAATTTACTGTCAAACTAGAGGCACCAAGAACCTCATTATATCAGAATTCATATCTCTGGAGAACAGCATCGCTGTGGAATAAACTCCCTGCGACGGTTTTCCCTGCAGGTTACAACCTGAACCGTTTCAAGACCAACATACACCGACATTTCCGCGCACTTGCCGCTTCTCGAGCGCGATAGGACATTTTCCTTGCGAGTGCGCATATCCGTAAAAAAAAAAAAAAAAAAAAAAAAAAAAAAAAAAAATAATAAAATTGATAATTAAAAAAATCATAACACCCTGTATCAAGATGCTACGTTAAAAAAAAACTGAAAAAACATTCCTAATGTATTAAATAATAATAAACAAAAAACGTCTGTTGTATTTTTTTTGTAAATTTATTATTAGTGGAGAAAATTGGCAAAATGTGGTTTTTCAACCCTTTCAATCGATGGGGTGAAATTAGCACAAGGGCGATTTTCCCGAAAACTCAGATTTTTAATACACCCATGGTCCTTAACATTTTTTTTTCTAAAATAAGTCGTTTTGCCAAAAAATCACAGATGACCCTATTTTAACGAAGGATTTACTGTACTACTAGTATTTTTCAATAAACCGCTAAGCGGTCGTATAAAAATAATAAGGCAGCGGTCTGACGGTCGTGTATAGCTTCCTTACATTTGAGTTTGAACTGTTTGAAGTTCTAATTTTCATTTTAATTTTTTTACCAAGGCAAAAAATGTCAAAATCCGCACTTAATTGATACAAAACCAACTTTATAAAGGATATATCAACTAATTTTTATAGAAAATTTATAAATCTTGGTTGCACTAAAGCGTTTTACACCCGCAGTGTTAGGAAAACCATGGAAATAAGCGTTTTCTTAAAGGCTGAACTATGCTCCTAAATACCTAAAGGAATGTTGTTGTTCAATTTTAAAACCCTCCAATCAGAAATACCACCTCTAAGCTATAGTTTTTGTGAGAAAAATTCGCTGCAAAAATGAGTTTAATTATAAAATACATAGGTTTGGTAGTTTCTTTCAAACCCTCTTTCTGGATCTGGATGTGATGGACGGTAACCCTTGTGTTCACGATACCTAGGCCCCACTGGGCCCCTTTCGCATCATCCCAGGTTTTGCCTGTCCATTCAAGCCAACCTCTAGCCTAATGCTTTGAAAAAAGCGGAAACGCTGCCCGAGGAGGTTTCCCTCAGAAAGGCTATAATACGCCCAAATCCCGTATTTTCGATGTCCGAAAAAGGTTCAAAAAGTGACGTTTTTAAACTAACCCAAATCATGTTGATAAACTTATCACAGTGCGATGCAATAGTGAAAAATCAAATTATGCAGAATGCTACGCGACGTGGAATTTTCTGATATGATATTGTGGAACTATGAACAATAATTGTTGAGTCTCGTCCGATTCAATGAAATGCCAAAAAAAATATAGCGTGGTGTTCATCAGCAAATTATTACTTTTATTTGCGACTAATATTTAATGTAAGTATTATACTTATGATTTTGGCAGTTTAATGCCAATATGGCATGTATTATTCCCGCAGGGAATAATGACGAGGGATTAATGGTCATTATTCCCGCTTGCAAACCAATCACAAAATGTCTCCAATTAAATAAGTAAGACCATATGGAAATATAAACAAACTCAAAAGTGTCAGTGTCAAATGCGTAGTGCTTGTATATTTGTATTGAGATGGATGAACAACTAGCGTTTAAAAAAAAAAAAACTCAAATAAATTGATTTGTCGTAAATAAAGTAGAGTATACTACTCGCAATAATGGCTATTGTTCTCTCGGAATGTTACTCCCTCGCCGCTAACGCGGCTCAGTTTGTAAATATTCCTCGGGGGTAATAGCTATCACTATTGACTCGTGGTATAATCTACTATTTTAAGTAGGTAATTAATCATTCCATGTACAGTGTAATAATTATTTCAAAAAATATTATTAAGTTATATGTATTTTTGGTTTCTAATTCTAATGTTTCAAATGTAAATACACTTCTAATTATTGTCCGAATTTTTAGCCGCATATTCACAACACCAATGTTGGGACTGTGGCAAGTCGTATAAGCACAAAACACACTTAAGTAGGCATAGAAAATATGACTGTGGTAAGACGGCAAATTTTTTCTGTCCGTACTGTACTTATCAGGGAAAACGTAAGGATCATTTTCGAATGCACGTGATCAGAAGTCACTCGATGGAGCATTACGAAAACTGGAAGAAAAATATGATTTAGCAGAATTGATTTATTAAGTTTTACATTGTAATATCAACCAAAAAAAAATAATTTATACTGTTAACTTACTAGCTTAGAATATTTTGTATATAAACTGCACTTGTAAAAAAAATTGAAATTACTAACCCTTCTTTATTAATACATGAAATTTACCTTAATTTAATTTAATTTAATTTTAATTTTGTAGAACAAATTTTCTGCAAAATGTGTGGAGCTGTCTTTAAACATTTGGCTTCTCTAAGGTATCATTTGGCAAACAATGTGTGTACTAAGCCAAAGAAAGGTATTTTTAACCCTTATTTTAATTTTCTGTTTTGTGATTCGCATGTTTTTAGAAGAAGAACCTAAGCTACTAAATTGTCAAGTATGTGGAAAAATTTTTAAAGGTGTTACTGCTATGCAATATCATATCAGACGAAAAGTTTGCGAACAAGTCAAACAAAATATTGGTAAATATATAAATTATTTTTACACTATAATATGATTATTTCAGGAATTGGGTAATTTTAACTAAAACGTGTCTACTTCCCTCCGAAACTAGTTCGGTCGCCACATGAAGCAAAACCAAATTGGCGTCGACCATGAATTTCATCTTCAATCTCTATCTTGACAAACGCGTTTCCCCCAATATCTGCTTTCATTAAGCTAACACCTTCGCAATGGAATTCCAGCTCATTATAGGAATGCAGTGCAGTCTCTGTGCAGTGCAGAACTCTTTCACTAATTTTTGAATTTGACATAATTAGATAAAGCACTTAAAATAAAAGAACCCTCACACATCCACACACTGCCAAAACCAACACATTGAATTTTTTCCGAATTCTTCGAAGCTTTGAAATGGTCGCAGCGCCTAAACTAAAATAGCTAGCAAGAAAAGTCATAAGGCAAAGTTGATCAGGATGTGCAACTTTTATTACGGTCATTTTGTCGAAAAAATAAATAAATAAGAAAAAAGCCAATAGGGCCGAACGCACAAAGCTTTCAAGTGTAATTTTTTGGCTCAATACTCAGGATACAATCTCCAATCAGCTCTAAAAAAATCAGCCTGCCCTCGTTTTTTTTTCTTTTTAAAAAAACCCATATATTCACTGAATTATACCCCCAACAGCTCGATACCTTATCCAAAGAATCCATAGAGAAAGTTCTTTTTTTTTTCAAAGTTAGTTGAAATATTAAATTTGTTTATTCTGTTTCTAAACACTCTGTTAATCAATTTGGAGAAATCATTGTCAATTTTCAAAGCGTCTTCCGCTTTTTCAATCTCGGTACTACGGTATTCGAAATCCGTTAATTGGATTTCCTGATTTACCAAGCCTACTATGACCGATTTTGCTCCGGCACACTAGATGACTTGACCTGCAATTATACCGCCATTTGTGTCATTACGCTATTTGGCGGCCACATCATTTGGTTGTACGCTTAAATTCGATATGGTCGTAATCTTGTAACCGGAATTTCCTCTGCATTGTGATAGTTATAATAAAATACTTCTCCATTAGATATTGCAAGCTTTATTGATGACAACAAATATGTTACATGCCCAAAAAAATGAGAGTTATCTCAGCTTATTACCACCCATGTACTGAAATCAAATGCCTTTTGAGACTATCTTTTCTGTTGCTGCAGTAAGTGCAAAAATGACATCGGAAATCTCTACCTTTGAGACATTCATTCCGTCTATGATTGAAGAGAGATCCTCTGTATATATAGGGTTTTCCACAATCATGGCATCGATGAAATACTAAAAGAAAAAAAAATCGTTGATACAGTGATAATTTGTAGATGGCTAATGCCTAAATGCACCGTAAAGCCAGAGACACATCTATCATGCATTCTTCCGATCCGCCTCCAATCATACAATCAAGGTTCTTATTCCTGGAATAGGCGAGCAGCGGAACACTTGTTCTCCTTGGGAACCCTGTTCCCTATTCCCAGAATAAGGACCCTGATTGTATGATCGGAGTCGGATCGGAAGCATGCATGATAGATGTGTCCCGGGCTTAAGGACTTAATCCAGATTAGTTGCTAAAACCAGATTGAGACTTCTGTTTTATATGCAAATTTTCGAACTTAGCGGGATTAAATTCCCAAGTCCGTACGGTGCATACGGGTGTTAAGTTAGTAAGCAAGGACGGGTATCCTACTTCTAATGAAATGACAGCTAGAGTTTCTAATAATAATGATAATAATAAAAATAAACCATATAGGTCCCTCATATATGATTCCGATTAGAACAGTTTATTCAAAAAATAATTAATATATTAATCCCTATGCAATACTATGCATGTTAACCCAGCGAATTATTTTTCATCTTTGCAAAAAAGACACATCGGCAAGCCAAAGCGTTGTTAGCTCAATAAGGCCTATCACTTGTTTCACTAAAGGCAGAAAAACATTATAAGCTCCTTAAAGGCTTTCATTTCTTGTCCTTTACCGACTATCTTTCACAATATTCAACATACCAGAAATTAATAATACAAAAAAAAATCTTCAGTTAGAAAAATAAATCAATTAAGTAATCTGCAAATAAAGTGGCCCAAATATAAAATACCCATTATAAATTAACAATTGAAATAATTACTATCATGGATGAGAGTAAAGGTTTACCTACAGTGACGCGCATTCTTTGTACAGGGTGTTTGGTGGGTCGATGCATATATTTTGAGAGGTGATAGATTAAATCATTTATAACCTATTTAGTGGACCTTATCTTAGTAACAAGTCTTACGGTTTTCAAAATATGGCCGATTTAATTTTTTCTTGAACAAATCTAATAAATCATTTGTTGGCCGCTTTAATGCGATATTCAGAAATAACATCACAAATAATCACAGAAATTAGCCATACATTAACAAACTGTAATTTTTTTTTGAAAAAACTTAACTTGCAATGGAGTTAATACTTTTTGTGACTTCAAAATGGTACTCTTATTGTTAATTTTCTATTTATTTTTTTGTTAATGCATTTAGGACAAGAAGGTAAGTTTGACTAAATAGGTTCTAAATTACTTACTCTATCACCTCCAAAAATATATACATCGACCTACCAAACACCCCTGTATTGTTACCTCCAATATTTTGAAAAAAAAAAACAAAGATTAGACTTTCATCTCGAAGAAGTAACAAATAACATTATCAGTTCATAGGAAAACATCAAACTAAAAAATTAAATCTAAAATTAAAATTCTGCTTTTGGAACCCAATATTAAAATTATTAGATTATTTATAAGACATATAGCCTAGATCAGCTATAATATCATGCACCTTATGCATGTGATTCCTCAAGCCGGTTCTGTAATAATACATATTACCGCAATATTCGCACTTGAAACGTTTCTCTTTTTGGCATTCCACCGACATGTGCCTCCTCAAGTTTTTGACTAACGTGTAAGACTTACAGCAGCCTGGGCATTGGTACCTGATAGTGGTAACTAAAAAAATATTAAAATTAGACAATAAATAATTTTATTATTAAAAAGACAACAATGACCCATCACTAATAAGCTATTTAAGTAGAATGTGCAATATTTAATAATTTCTATATAGTATAAAAAAGCTAATACAATTAAACATTGTTTCAAAATTAATTATTAATTTCCAGAAGAAATAACACGTGTGTAAATTTAGAAACATTTCTGTTTCCTGTCAAAAATTGTAATGAATTTTCATCAAGTACTTATGAGCTAAATCAATCACTATGGTTTCAAAATTATTTCGGTACAAATAAGACTCGCGTGAACCGAAGAAAGATGTTTTATGATACTAGCTTTGTGTTTTGCTCTATAGCTGCAAAGCTGACAACTAAACATTGGTTCCTTCTGACACTCGAACTTTTGATATCTCCACAAAGATCTGGCAACCTTGTAGGATTTACCGCATGTTTGACAAGAAAAAAAACCTAAAAATAGTTTGGGATGAATATCAAAAACTGCTCATATCAACTTATCTTAAAACAACACTGGGAAAAATTATTCGGCTAAATCTGTTGAGCTGCATAATTTATATACAACACTGATATAAAAATAGTTTAAAATTTAATTGTGCCACCAAATTCTACCATTTATTATAAAAAAAGATCAATTTTTCTGCAGCCATTTGTACTAACTAACATATATGATTCCGATTAGAACAGTTTATTCAAAAAATAATTACGAATATTATAGGCTATCCAGAACCGACTGACATTAGGGACAAGCTGAAGTTAAAAGTGTCAAACATCATCTAAAACGAGTTTTAGCAATCGCAAGTCTTTCATTTGAAGAATTCATAATAGTTTTATGTCAAATAAAAGCAATCTTGAATTCACGTCCACTTTGTCCTCTGTCCTCTGATCCTAATGATCCTACGACTCTTACGGCTCAGTCCCTTATTGAACGAATGCTAGTCTCAATATCAGATGGAGCCCTAGAAAATAGTCCAATAAATAGAATCGCCTTACCAGGTTCCACTTACTTCAGAAGATTTGTCAACATTTCTGGAGACGGTGAGAACGAGATTATATATTCGAGCTCCAGCAAAGACAAAAATGGAAGTCTAGTCATGGTTATCTGAAAGAAGGCAGTTTAGTTTTTATTAAGGAAAATAATACTTTGCTTACTAAATGGAGACTCGGTCGTATCGTTTGTCTGCATCCTGGATCTGATGGTGTTATTAGAGTTGCATCAATAAAAACTAGTTATGGTGTAGTGAAAAGATGTTTCTCCAAGATCTGTCCACTTCAAATTGATAGTTGACAGAGTCGGCCCTTTCAAGGCGGGGAGTATGTTTAGGATATACGTTTTATCCGATCGTACCTGTTCCTGACGTCAATATTCTATATCACCGAACATACCTGTTCCTACGTCAATCTAGATCCAGTTATGCCATGAAAAGATTGTTTATCAGTTGGACAATATTGAACATTTAACAATCCTTCATTTATTCTCCCATGAGTAAAATCAAATCAAATCAAAATAAGCTTTATTGAATAAAAACACATTGACAAAGCAAAGATCCTATCATTAATCAATTATGGGTACATTATTACAAATAAAAATTTTAGTCCAAAATATGAACCATAAAAACAATAAAAAATACACGTACAAAAATTCCAAAGAAAATCACTAATTTAAACTATAAACTACATATTTTCAGGTTAAATAAATGAAATAAAAAATTTAAAAAATAAATAAATAGATAAAGAAATGATTTTTTTTTGGTTATACAGTATAAAAAAAAACAAACAATGGTAACTTAGAGAAAAAAAAAAACAAAAACAGAAAAAATAAACAAAAAAGAAATGGTCAATTTGATAAAATATAGGTAAAAAAATCTAAATTTTTTTTTAAAATTTCAAAATTTTGTTAATGATGAGTTTGTTTTTTTATTTGTTGTGATAAATGAATGAACATTTTTATACTTTCATGGCTGGTCCAAAAAGAACTGGAACTTTGTGAGCTGTAACTTTTTTT